CATTTCGATTCATTGATTGCTATGAATACATTCCTTTACACTTCACTGTCACGAAGACACATTGAATGCAGAAGAATTCTATGACATCTCGAGGCATTGATTGCCAAGATAATATTGAGTGGCACTTCACTGTCACGAAGACACCCTTGAGAGAGAAGGGTTTGAAGAGGATATTTCGATTCATTGATTAAATACATTCAGTGACACTTCACTGTCACGAAGACACCTTGGATGCAGAAGAATTCTATGACATCTCGAAGCATTTATGGTGAAGATTATATTGAGTGGCACTTGATTGTCACGACGACACCCTTGAGAGAGAAGAGTTTGAAGAAGATATTTCGATTCATTCATTGCTATGACTACATTCAGTTACACTTCACTGTCACGAAGTCACCTTGGATGTAGAAGAGTTCTATGACATCTCGAGGCATTGATTGCCAACTTTATATTGAATGGCACTTCACTGCCACGAAGACACCCCTGAGACAGAAGAGTTTGAAGAGGATATTTCCATTCATTGATTGCTGAGGATACGTTCAGTGACACTTCGCTGTCGGGAAAACACCCTGGAGGCAGAAGAATTCCATCAAGACATTTTGATTCATTGATTGCAAAGAATACATTCAGTGACACTTCACTGTCACGAAGACACCTTGGATGCAGAAGAATTCTCTGACATCTCGAGGCATTGATTGCAAGATTATACTGAGTGGCACTTCACTGTCACGAAGACACATTCGAGATAGAAGAGTTTGAAGAGGATACTTCGATTCATTCATTGCTATGAATAAAATTCAGTGACACTTCACTGTCACGAAGACACCTTGGATGCAGAAGAATTCTATGACATCTCGAAGCATTTATGGTGAAGATTATATTGAGTGGCACTTGATTGTCACGACGACACCCTTGAGACAGAAGAGTTTGAAGAGGATATTTCTATTCATTCATTGCTGAGGATACGTTCAGTGACACTTCACGGTCACAAAGACACCCTGGAGGCAGAAGAATTCCATGAGAACATTTCGAGACATTGATTGCTATGAATACATTCAGTGACACTTCACTGTCACGAAGACACCTTGGATTTAGAAGAATTCTCTGACATCTCGAGGCATTTATGGTGAAGATTATATTGAATGGCATTTCATTGCCACGAAGACACCCTTGAGAGAGAAGAGTTTGAAGGGGATATTTCGATTCATTCATTGCTATGACTACATTCAGTTACACTTCACTGTCACGAAGTCACCTTGGATGTAGAAGAGTTCTATGACATCTCGAGGCATTGATTGCCAACTTTATATTGAATGGCACTTCACTGCCACGAAGACACCCTTGAGACAGAAGAGTTTGAAGAGGATATTTCCATTCATTGATTGCTGAGGATACGTTCAGTGACACTTCGCTGTCGGGAAAACACCCTGGAGGCAGAAGAATTCCATCAAGACATTTTGATTCATTGATTGCAAAGAATACATTCAGTGACACTTCACTGTCACGAAGACACCTTGGATGCAGAAGAATTCTCTGACATCTCGAGGCATTGATTGCAAGATTATACTGAGTGGCACTTCACTGTCACGAAGACACATTCGAGATAGAAGAGTTTGAAGAGGATACTTCGATTCATTCATTGCTATGAATAAAATTCAGTGACACTTCACTGTCACGAAGACACCTTGGATGCAGAAGAATTCTATGACATCTCGAGGCATTTATGGTGAAGATTATATTGAGTGGCACTTGATTGTCACGACGACACCCTTGAGACAGAAGAGTTTGAAGAGGATATTTCTATTCATTCATTGCTGAGGATACGTTCAGTGACACTTCACGGTCACAAAGACACCCTGGAGGCAGAAGAATTCCATGAGAACATTTCGAGACATTGATTGCTATGAATACATTCAGTGACACTTCACTGTCACGAAGACACCTTGGATTTAGAAGAATTCTCTGACATCTCGAGGCATTTATGGTGAAGATTATATTGAATGGCATTTCATTGCCACGAAGACACCCTTGAGAGAGAAGAGTTTGAAGGGGATATTTCGATTCATTCATTGCTATGACTACATTCAGTTACACTTCACTGTCACGAAGACACCTTGGATTAAGAAGAAGTCTATGACATCTCGAAGCATTTATGGTGAAGATTATATTGAATGGCATTTCATTGCCACGAAGACACATTTGAGACAGAAGAGTTTGAAGAGGATATTTCTATTCATTCATTGCTGAAGATACGTTCGGTGACACTTCACTGTCAGGAAAACACCCTTGAGGCAGAAGAATTCCATGAGGACATTTCGATTCATTGATTGCTATGAATACATTTCTTTACACTTCACTGTCACGAAGACACATTGAATGCAGAAGAATTCTATGACATCTCGAGGCATTGATTGCCAAGATAATATTGAGTGGCACTTCACTGTCACGAAGACACCCTTGAGAGAGAAGGGTTTGAAGAGGATATTTCGATTCATTGATTAAATACATTCAGTGACACTTCACTGTCACGAAGACACCTTGGATGCAGAAGAATTCTATGACATCTCGAAGCATTTATGGTGAAGATTATATTGAGTGGCACTTGATTGTCACGACGACACCCTTGAGACAGAAGAGTTTGAAGAGGATATTTCTATTCATTCATTGCTGAGGATACGTTCAGTGACACTTCACGGTCAGGAAGACACCCTGGAGGCAGAAGAATTCCATGAGAACATTTCGAGACATTGATTGCTATGAATACATTCAGTGACACTTCACTGTCACGAAGACACCTTGGATTTAGAAGAATTCTCTGACATCTCGAGGCATTTATGGTGAAGATTATATTGAATGGCATTTCATTGCCACGAAGACACCCTTGAGACAGAAGAGTTTGAAGAGGATATTTCCATTCATTCATTGCTGAGGATACGTTCAGTTACACTTCACGGTCAGGAAGACACCCTGGAGGCAGAAGAATTTCATGAGTACATTTCGAGGCATTGATTGCTAATAAAACGTTCAGTGACACTTCACTGTCACGAAGACACCTTGGATTTAGAAGAATTCTATGACATCTCGAGGCATTTATGGTGAAGATTATATTGAATGGCATTTCATTGCCACGAAGACACATTTGAGACAGAAGAGTTTGAAGGGGATATTTCTATGCATTCATTGCTGAGGATACGTTCAGTGACATTTCACTGCCACAAAGACACCCTGGAGAAAGGATTCCATGGGGACATTTCGAGGCATTGATTGCTAAGAATACATTCAGTGACACCTCACTGTCACAAAGACACCTTGGATGCAGAAGATTTCTTTGACATCTCGAGGCATGAATGGTCAAGATTATATTGAGTGGCACTTCATTGTCACGAAGACACCCTTGAGAGAGAAGAGTTTGAAGAAGATATTTCGATTCATTCATTGCTATGAATACATTCAGTGACACTTCACTGTCACGAAGTCACCTTGGATGTAGAAGAGTTCTATGACATCTCGAGGCATTGATTGCCAACTTTATATTGAATGGCACTTCACTGCCACGAAGACACCCTTGAGACAGAAGAGTTTGAAGAGGATATTTCCATTCATTGATTGCTGAGGATACGTTCAGGCAGAAGAATTCCATCAAGACATTTTGATTCATTGATTGCAAAGAATACATTCAGTGACACTTCACTGTCACGAAGACACCTTGGATGCAGAAGAGTTCCATGATATTTCAAGGCATTGATTGCCAAGAATATATTGAGTGGCACTTCATTTGCACGAAGACACCCTTGAGACAGAAGAGTTTGAAGAGGATCTTTCGAGGCATGTATTGCTAAAAATATATTCAGTGACACTTCACTGTCACAAAGACAACCTGGAGGCAGAAGAAATACCTGAGGACATTTCGATTCATTGATTGCTATGAATACATTCCTTTACACTTCACTGTCACGAAGACACATTGAATGCAGAAGAATTCTATGACATCTCGAGGCATTGATTGCCAAGATAATATTGAGTGGCACTTCACTGTCACGAAGACACCCTTGAGAGAGAAGGGTTTGAAGAGGATATTTCGATTCATTGCTATGAATACATTCAGTGACACTTCACTGTCACGAAGACACCTTGGATGCAGAAGAATTCTATGACATCTCGAAGCATTTATGGTGAAGATTATATTGAGTGGCACTTGTTGTCACGACGACACCCTTGAGACAGAAGAGTTTGAAGAGGATATTTCTATTCATTCATTGCTGAGGATACGTTCAGTGACGTTTACTGTCACAAAGACACCCTGGATGCAGAAGAATTCCATGAGGACATTTCGAGGCATTGATTGCTATGAATACATTCCTTGACATTTTACTGTCACGAAGACACCCTTGAGACAGAAGAATTCCATGAGGACATTTCGAGACGTTGATTGCTAAGAATACATTCAGAGACACTTCACTGTCACGACGACAGCTTGGAAGCAGAAGAGTTCCTTGATATCTCGAGGCATTGATTGCCAAGATTATATTGAGTCGCACTTCATTGACAATTCCGTCACGACGACAACTTGGAGGCAGAAGAGTGGCATTTATCATGAGGAGGCAACGACAGGCAAGGATATATTCAGTGTCAATACAATGTCACGAAGACACCTTGGAAGCAGAAGAATTCCATCTCGAGGCATGGATTGCCAAGAATATATTGAGTGGCACTTTACTGTCACCCCGCATTCAGAAGAGATTCATAAGAGGACATTTCGAGACATTGATTGCTGAGGATATATTCTATGATACTTCTTCGTCACGAAGACACCCTGGAGCCAGAAGAGATCCATGAGGCCATTTCCAGGCATTGATTGCTGAGGATATATTCTATGATACTTCTTCGTCACGAAGACACCGTGGAGACAGAAGAATTCCAATCGGCCGTTTTGAGGCGTTGATTACGAAGAATATTTTCAATGACACTTCGCTGTCATGAAGATGTATGAAAGTTCCAAGAATGTTAATCTCGAAGCATTGATTGCTAAGAAGATATTCAGTGATAATTCACTGTCACGAAATTATTCGAGACCTCTTGAGGAAATGATTGCCAGAAGATATTCAGTGTCACTGTCACGAGGACACCCTGGAGGCAGAACAGTGCCGTTCACTTCAGTGTCTATTTCTGCAGATATTTGTTAGGTCACAGTGACCTATTTTCAATGAAAAGCATGAACCATATTTTCGTTGTGACATAGAATTCCACCATGAGACTTCATATTGGGTTTTATATACTGGTTAACCCTTGAAAATATTGCAGTTGATATTGATAATGTCAAGGTCACGTGTTCTCAATAATAAAAATCGTTCAATGTAGTTACAATTAATTGAAATGACGAAGACCTACTATAAGGTCTAAATGACTAGGCAATCAAATGCAATTTTCCATAATAATCCCCCAAATGTTTTCACGTCGAAGGTCAGCATTCATGTTTGTTTGTTTGTTTGTTTTTGTTAAGTGTATTCTAGATTCTCTGGACATAGCACTGAAAAACATTAAAATGACACAAACCAATTAATTCCTAAGATCGATTGGTTGGCACGTCACTAGTTCAGCAATTATGATTTTACAACCAGTTCTCATCACCAGTTGTGGATGGACGACGTCCTGAGGGTGGCGCTTTGAAGTGATGAGGTTTTGAGTGACCTTCTATGAAGATAAAGGTCACTGGATGGGTCTGTCTTAAGGTACTTCTGCTCCTTTCTGTACTGAGGAAATAATGTGTGTGTATAACATGTTTGTAAGAGCTTACACCTATGTTTTCAACTAAAAATAATCAAACATGTGATTCTCTTAAATTGAGGTCAAGGTCATTACACCAAAAGTGCTTATAACTTTCTGTTTATGGTAGCTTGTGGAATAACACTTTCTGTTTTGAAGTTGTCTTCTTTCCAAACGGGAAATGATGTCATTTAACTGGAAGTGCCAACAACTTTCTTAGTAATGTTGGTGCAGAACTGTTTTTAGGTTGTGATGCATTGAGCTTATGTTATGTTTGGCCTTTACTACAATTAAGTCAGTTTGTCTGTTTTCCCATTACAGAGGTGAAGTTATCAAACCAAGAGTGCTTGCATTGACAGCTTGAGGCACAGGACTAATTTCTACTGCATTTGGCAACATGAGGTATCCGTGATGAATCTAAAACATGTATTGATGAGATCATCTGTCACTTGAGTAGATGGACGTTAAAATGGATCATGATACACGTTTGTTGTGGTAAAGTTTTCGCTATTCAAGAAAGGTTATGTAGGGACTAGTTCTGTGTTGCATGTAATTTAATATATTTATTCATATATGTTTACATGTTTGTCCTTGCATCTGTAGGTAGTTGTAGAATAGCATTACTGTCGTAAATATGTAAGCTTAGTGCCATAAGATAGAAATGGATCCCATACACCTCGGGATATTGTAACAATTTAAACCTTTAAAACTATGGTCGCGGTTGTTTGATCAACATCCATGGCGAGATGAAGTATGAAATTCATTGCTTCGATGCTGTCAGTGCCATTCAAATTGATTAGCAGAGACAGATAGCATTAATTATGAGAAACAATACGCGCTGATGGCTGAAAATCAATGTTACGACAATTCTAATTCTACATGTCACCAATTTGTAAGTGCTTACTTGTAACGTTGTCTTTCTTTTTCATTCAGTATGAATCACTTGATCCACCAAGACTTGAACGAGCTGTGGAGGACAAGTAGTTGGTACCTGACAAAAGCCACTGTGATGGGCATTACTTGCACCGGGTACCACCTGGAAAACTCGCAGTTGTGCCCTGAGTGATTGTGCACCGTCCTCTAATCACTCGAACGTGATGCCACACTTACAACTACTGTGGGACTAGGTGGTTTCAATATCATACTTGTGAGGCTGACTTTCATGAACTATAGTGTCACGCCATTTTTCTGTATCAAACCATGTATAATAAAAGTATGAAAAATCCACCATTTGGTTTTCATTGTAGCTAATCGGGCATTTGAAGCCATGAGAGTATGAAATGATTTGTTGAAAATCTTGATATGATTCCCTAGTCTATCAGGCCAAATGATTTTCTCTTACTGCAAAATATATTGATTGACTACAGAGCCTAATGTTTCAACACCAACGTGTTGTTTACTACAAAAATGACTGCTGAGCGATATTTTGAAGTACATAATACAAAGTGGTAAATAATAAATGTCTGGCAGAAATTTCTGGAGGTATAAAAAAGATTCTTCCAGAAATTTCTGCAGTACAAAACAAATCAGTCAGAATTTTCTTCAGAAATGCATTTGAGCTCATTGGAGGAACATAAACTTTCCAATGTTCCTGTGTGTTCCTGTAGGCTCGATCCCTTTATGGGCATGTTCGGACTGCTGACCATTCCAAAGTTGTATCACCTCTCCCTCATGTAAGTTATATCCCAACGTGTTACATGTAGGTTCATGCAGAGGAAACGTCTGAAGCGGTACAGAACGTAGGAGAACCCAAATGTCAGTAAAATGATAAAATATAAAACCTAGCAAATTCGAAAATTAGGCTACAAAAAATACAGTGCCCTCGCTGTCAGTTGACAATGCATTTGTTTAAAAACAACTCTCGCAATGCAATTTAATTTTGATTTTCTAACAAAAATGATCACACATCTTCACACCGCGATTAAGTTGTAACCAGGGTGAAATATTCACGTGAAACGTGTGACGCACCGCCTGAGAAGGGATGTATCAGGGTGTTTCTGTTCAAATAATGTTTTCTCATCTACTGACCTGACATAAATGATCAAACGTGCTCCATTCATTCAATATTTAGCAAGAAATGACATATGTTCTCTTCTATGGAAACTCATTGAAACACAAAGAAAGTAGTTCCTGCAGCTTCGTTTTATTGAAAATGTCTCCACTGACGCGTACAGCAAAACTCAGCGTTCTAAATGAGCGAACACCACAACATGGACAGATCAGAATATTTTAGCGAAGTGACTTATGCTTTTAAGGATAAAAGACGCATCAACAGCCACTGTTTTATTCGACTATTTAACGTTACAAAAACATCAGTTGAAAAAAGAGGATAAGAAATATAAGGAAACAAAAAGTGAAACATAAAAAGTAGCCAGTTCCAGGGACTACATATCACCAATTCTCTGTCACTCGGGTGAATGAGAGAGCTCAGCATTATTCCGGACGTAAAATGTTAAAATTGCAGAATAAAGTAGTTTAACTATGTGCTGCTTGTTGGTCAGTTCGGGAAACATGCGTCTACGGGTAATTGATGGGTGGTGACACCAGAAACCCTGGATCTGCCTATGCCTCTGCTTGCTACACAATAATATAAAATATAATTTCCGTCGCTAGCTTGTCAGTTTTTGCTGACTGTGTCGTTATACAAAATTCAACATAATATACCACACATCACTTCACGTACAAAAGAATAATTGTGGATATCCTATCTTGTGTAAACGGGACAATTATAATAGCTTTTCGTCACAGGGATCACGTTTTACACATGATTCTTATTATTGACCATAAGAGAGAAATGTTCAGAGGAGATAATGCCGGACTGCACGTTCCACTCTTGCCTATGAATACATTACATTACCACTTTCACATGGCTGTCCAAATCGCCAAACATTAAAGCCACAGAACATTTGGGCTAGCTAGGACCCAAAGCCTTCTTCAATCATGACGATGCGGATCAGTTTTGGAGTCACGTAGTGGTCTCAATAGCTACCGAGAACAAGGCCCATTTGTGAACTGACATCATCACTGCTTGAACTTTTATTGACTTATTTACAATTACTAACATTCTCACATTCAGGCCATCATTTCTATGTGAGACGTTGACTTGCCTTTACACGTGTTCGCAATGTGTGGGGCAGAAAAATCGCACCTTTTCGCAAACATCCGATGTCATCACTACTTTTCACAGTTATTCATGAACACTTGATATGGTCGCACTCGTAGAATGTACACGGGTGTCACTTTTATTTCCAAGTTCTAATTTTAGCGGTTACACTGTGTGTAACACCCACGCATATTAATTAAATACATCAGGGAATGGTGTTGGCGTTTGCTGTATATTACAAGATACATGTTGAATGGAGCAATGCCTTTGATCCCGTTTGTGACGTGGTATTATAACAGTGATTGGTGATTAATGAACTGTCATAAAAATATCGAGCAATTAAATTTGGAGAATCGACATCTGATGTGGACATGGCAAACGTTGAATTACGAATTGTTGTATAAGAGCACCAATTACTGCATTTTTAAAATATCACATAATCCTCAAATCATTAACGATACATCCAACAATGGGTATATATATCCAATCAACAACATTGGTATTCTATGTTAAAATAGAAAGCATGTAAGTCTCCTAAAAGCAAGGCTTGACCAACTTACTGGTACATTAGCATCAAATAGGATATCAATATGGTCTAATCAATGTATTGATGTACGTGGGGAAACCTGGCCAGCATACATGTGTAATAATATACAAAGCAATATGTCATCAGGTCGGTTCGTGACCAGTGAAGATCCGGGGTAGAATAGATCTTCAGCAGCCCATGCTTGCCGTAAAAGGCGACTATGCTTGTCGTAAGAGGCAACTAACGGGATCGGATGGTCAGGCTCGCTAACATGGTATCCCAATTGCGTGGGTCAATGCTCATGATATCAGTCATATATCATGAAACACTGAACATTGAACCATATATGTAATCCTGACACAGGACACCTCACATTTGAAGTCAGGATTTGTGTGAGTCAGTGTGTTGGGTTTAACGCCGTTTGGAACAGTCTCCCAGTTATATCACGGCGTGCCAGCTAGACGTGGGCTGAAAGCCCATAGTAATGCAGGTTTCAAACGTTTATCACCTTGGTGAAACCCACAAGCACGGGTGTGGTGCTGGCAAACCTAGGAAGGTAATCGTGGCGAACCGGGATTCGATCTCACAATCATATGTTTTCAATGGACCTAACTCTGCACAGTGAATTGCTGAGCCTTAGACGACTGGGCCACCCATGGACTCAAATCAGAACAACTGTTAATGCAACGTTGCGAGGGCACCTTTTTAAAACGACGTCCAAGCTAATACTTGATTATCTGTTATTCTATGCATTGAACCAATGACCTGCATGCACAAAACATGATAATGATGTATGATGAAACTATTCCATTGTCACAATGGATGTAATGTGTGGATAGTGCTTGAATAGGATCTGACCCGTGAAGATCCGGGGTAGAATAGGTCTTCTGCAACCCATGCTTGTCGTAAGAGGCGACTAACGGGATCGGGTGGTCAGGCTCGCCGACTTGGTTGATGCATGTCATCGTATCCCAATTGCGTGGATCGATGCACATGATGTCAATCACTGGATTGTCTGGTCCAGACTCGATTATTTACAAACCGCCTTCATATAGCTGGAATATTGCTGAGTGCGGCGTTAAACAGCAAACAAACAAACTGTTGATAGAATTTTAGATCTTCACAATCACAGGGTGTGACCATATAGACAGAATCTCGTTAGGGTTTGTGATTTTTACATTTGCCCAATGACCATGATGAGTGTTATTGGGGATACCAAAGGTGACAGTTTACTATTGGAGGAAATTGGTTGTGAGTACTTATACCATTTGGATAGGATATCTTTAGGATTTTAATCCTCTCTTTCGCTGTGGGTAATCCTTTCACGTTGATGGAAGGAAGTCACTCAACCAGGTCATGACAATGGTTATGCGCAAGGCTCGGAATCACGAATAGATCACTAGAGGTGTTGATGGAGGCTGGACATGCAGGATACAGCATTTCCAGTGTAGGCTGGCACCTCGTCTTTGTTTCACTCCGTATTTAAAACCTTGACCATTCACAGGTGCATTTGTCTATTTACAATGAAGTTGTTTGGCGTTCCCAGTATTTATATAATATCTCACTGATTACTTGTTAACTGGTCACTGCAAGTGCCTTAATTATTTAAGTTTCAGTGAACTGAGTTTATTCACATGTTAGCTTTCAAAGGTTGTGATACAAACTTGTAAAATCCTCAGTTGAGTTTACTCACTAACTACTGTGAGCGTTTTTGGCATGATATCTGTGGGAATTGTATAAACACAGTAACTGCTAAAAGCGGCGTAAAACCATGCTCACTCACAGTAACTGTTAATCCTCTGCATTGTGCTGGCAAATTGGAGATAAACCTGTGACGATCAAACTCAGTTAGAATCCATGTTTATCTGTGACATCTTCCAACTGGAGACATTTTTGTAAACTTGAAAAGTGATGATGAATTTTAATATTCATATTATTGAAACCGTCCTTTTTAAGGGACCGTTTATGCCTTGAATTGTTACGGGGAATTAACTCCGGGATCTCCACGCCTTCAAAAACAGACAGAGAGGTTCTCAGGCGAAATGCAGGAATGACCCTATGCCAAGATACCCCTGCATTTATACCCGAGACCTCCAGTCCACGTTTGAAAGCATGTCACTACCCATCTGTCCAGTTTGGAATTGATAACAATATAACAATAATAATTGATAAATCTGGACCGCAGTTACCGATTAACAACTTAAGATATAGAGACAGGCAGTCGATATATAACAAACGATATGGTCCTGTTAAGACGATTGAAAGTTAGAACGTTTGAGTAAATGACCCTATATGTGAGTTACCGCCCTTGGACAGAGAGGACGTGGCCGGATGAGCTCCCGCAATTTGAAAACAAAATCCAAGTTTTACTGAACCATCCGACGCCGAAGGTATACTTAATTGTACTACAGAGCCTTTATAAACGCAAATATACAACATTCTGTGAAGATTTTGTGTAAAAGGTTTCATATTTGCCTCTTTTGCTTAACTTTTGAACTCAAACAATGTCGGAACCATTTATGGATTCTCAAAACTATGTTGAAGCGGTTTTGACACAAGCAAATGTCACTACTTGCAACGTTGAAGCGGGTGTACCAT